CCAGATGTGGAAGCAGAACCAGCTATCAATGTGTCGGCCCAGCAGAGACAGGGAGAAAGAGATGCGTGTGCCCCACCCACACACACAACTGACACCAACGTATCTACAAGGAGTCTTTAAAAAACTCACAGAAAATGCATGGATTTCAAAAAAATAATATCTTTAAATTCATTTTCCATGGACTTTTTGAAGCAGCCCTGTATTCCACAAGGCACCTACACACACACACACACACACACACACTCACACACACACACCTGGATACCCTATCAGTGCTGCTTCTCTGGAGACCCCTGCCTCACACAAGAGGAAGCCTGGCCCAGCCCAGGGCTGCTGCAGCTGGGAGCAGGGCGGGCCCCAGGGGAGCGCCTTTCCCCACCTCTCACAGCTCTCCAGGCACCAGCAGGGGCCCTGGGTGCCCCTCGCCCAGGCCAGCATCCTCCTGCCTCACTCCATGCTCTGCCCTCGTTCTTGTGGTCCTCATCCTATAGCGCTTCCTCTCTGACCACAGCAAGTGTGAGAGGCAGGGGGTGTTCCCCGTACCTGGGCCTCCTGACCTCATCCCTGAACTTTCACTTAAACCTGGAGTGAAACACAACTGGAAAGTCACCCTCCACGTGCACCCAGGGGCTCACACACAACCGCGGGGTGCACATTCCTCCACCTCGTGCTTTGGCACCTCCTCATGCTTTCTTCGGCATTTTTCTAGAAGCTCCGGTCAGAGGATGCACCAAAAGCACCACGCCAGAGTGGCACTTGGTCCAGTGGGATTCCCAGCTCCAGCACCTGACTCCAGCTTCCCACTAATGCAGACCCTAGGAGGCAACAGTGGTAGCTCAAATAGTTGGGTCCCCGCCACCCAGGTGGGAGACCTGGACTGCGATCCTGGCTCCTGGAGTTGATCCCAATTCAGCTGTTGAGGCCATCTGGGGAGTGAACCAGTGGATGGAAGCTCTTCTCTCTCTCTCTGCCTCTCTAATAAATACATGAATACATATATACATACATACATACACCCAGACCTGCATCATATAGCTCTGGTCCCTGGAAAGGCCGAGTCTAAACCCCCTCAAGGAGTATAATATGCACAAAAAGATGTTTCCAAGCATACAAGCCAAGCGGCACTACGCCATTACCCATGCGAGCATCGCCACCAACCACGGTGCTTCCGCGTCTCCCTCCAGCCACTGGCCTCACTTCCTTCAGCTTCTCCAGAACTGCAGAGCTGGGAAGAACCTTACCCAACACAAACACACTGCAGGGCCAGAGTTGGGTCACTTCTAGAAATGCCTTGCAACAAAATCTGCCTTGTCGGCAGGAGTCGGTGGGGAAGGAGGGGAGTGTGTGTGTCCCCATGACCACAGACAACTGAACCAGTGCAGCTGACCTCCTAAGTCTCACCGTCACACTATCCCCAAGCTCTGCACTCACCTCAGCCTTCCCCACCTGCACTGCCCTGAGTGTGGGACTCACCTCCCACATTACAAAAAGAATCGGGCTGCTGGGCCTCCACCCACCTTGCCGTATCTCCATCTCTCTGTCTGTCCTTTGCTCAGGACCCTCTCCCAGCTCTCCCCTCCCTCGGGCTCACTTTTTGAGAGCAGTGTCCCAGGTCCTTCAAAAGGCGGCCCGAGCCCTGGCAGTCCAACCTCCGCTCCACTATGCGCCACCCTGAACGCCGCTTTCCAGGGGACAAACGTCACTGTTCACCCTCCTGGCCGTATGGTGCCCCACGCCAGCACCCTGGCTGAGCCTGTTTCCTTAACCCAGAAGCAGTTCCTCCTCTAGCCTCCCATCTGAGGGCCTGGGCGGATGCTACCTGCTTCAGAACACCTCTACCTGCCCAAACCTGACTCCTCCCTCTCCCACAAACCCCTTGGGCTCTGATGCAGCCAGGAGTTGCCCTGATGATGACCCCAGACCATGGCAGCCACAGTGAGGTCACACCGCCCTCAGCTAGACTCAAGGTCCAGTCTCTGCCATTCTCAGTACATGCCAGCTGTGTGGACAGGCAAGAGTGAGAAGGAATGAAAGAATGAGAGAAAAGGTGTTGCTCCACAGAATGGCAGGCTGTCAGAGCCTGCAGGGGACTTCAAGGACACGTAACCTGGATGAGGAAGGCAGAGGAAGGGCTGGGAGTTGCCATGAACAACTGTGCCAGGTCCCCAGCCACGGTCTCATGGCAGCCGGGGTGGTCAACGGTCTCATGGTTTAGGCCCGTGCCTGCCCCATATGGGATGTAGAGATGCCAGCCTAAACACCTTCTACAACATGGACCATGCCCAAGAGTAAAATGAATCTAAATCTCACCCACTTGGTCAAGTCTCCCCGCTGCAAGGAAGGGTCAGGGCTCCAATACCCCTCCTGGACTCGCAAGCTCAGGCGCCATCTACTGGCCAAGGTCAGAAGTGCACCAGGACCCAACACCCCCAGGGCAGTCAAGGAACCAAAGCTGAGACCAACCCCAATTCAGTCCATATCCGGGTCACCCTTGATGCCATAGAAATGATCCCACCTCTTACTTGGGCTCCTGGCTGCTCCCCAGAACTGGTCCTTCAGGACATAAGCCTAACATCCAAAATAAAAGGGGGAAAAGCACCTTTCTTTCTGGTCATACTGAGGAACATGCAAGACACAGACACATACAGACACACATATACACACATAAGACACACAGACACACACATATAGACACAGACACACACATATAGACACATACACATACACACAGACACACACACAGACACACAGACACACACAGCTGCTTTCCATATGGATGTCTGCCAAACAGAACTCTGCTGTGTAGGGGACAAGATGCTGCTGCCGCCGCCCCTCCCTCAGCGGTGTGGCCCAGCCCACTCCCTACAGAGCCAAGCCTAGGTGAGGGCGGCGCCCTCCCCTGCTCTCAGTGCTGTCTGGCCTGATCCAGAAGCAAACATCAACTGTAGGGTCCAGAAGTGCTACAACTTCCACCTCGTCCCCCACCCCAGGCAGGGGACACGACTCAGGGCCAGCCCATGTGCCCGGGACGGGGACTGGCGTGAGGACACCCATGACCTTCCAGAGCCTCTGTGGATGGGGAGGACCCCCCCAACCCAGGCATCCAGAACCAACCAGCTTGGCCAGCACACACACCCCTGGAGCTCCTCCCTCGCAGTGAGAGATGTCACAGCATGCAGGCAGTCTCCCAGGAACCTCAGGTCCCGCCCAAGGACCTGCAAAGCTGCTGGTAGACTCAGCTCTTGTTAACCGCGCTCCTGAGAACCCAGGGAAGAAACAGGGATTTCTGTGGTGTGCAGCCCAGGATGCCCGGGCCCAGCTCAACCGTCATCCCAGGGTGACAGCTGCACCCCGAGAAGAGTCGTGGGAGGGCAGGAGGAGGAGCAAGTGCCCTGTGAGTGACTTTCCTCCACCCTCACACCCCCGCACTCACCTCCCCTGCTTCCCACCCAGCCCTCGCCCCTCCCTCCACCCACGGCTCTAGAAAGTGTGTCACCAGGGAACAAACGCGCTTCGCGGGAGGGAGGAAGTGCAGGGGGGAGGGAAAGAGCACGGGCTGCAAGGGACGCCCCCTCAGAACCGTGACCTTGACATCAGCCTCCCTTTCTGGGGGGCTGGAGAGTCATCGTTGTGCAGGGGACACACAGCCAGCACGCCTAGGACCGCGCCCTGGAAGGAGACTGGCGGCCAGGCCCTGAGGCCTCAGGCAGGGCTTTGGGACGGAGGAGCCCAGCTTCCTGCCTCACTCTGCCCCGCTGGCCTGCTCTCACCCCGCTCCCCTCCCCAGCAGCCTTCCTCTCCCTGGCAGCCAACCCCACGGAGCTGCCACATCCCAGCAATGATGCACCTTGCACTGTTATTACAGTGATTTATTTAGTTTTAATTTGGGGGTGACTCTCATGCCGTTGGAAGCAAGAGGCCAACAATCTTGGCGAGAAGCAAAGCCACTCTCAGTGCCAACCCCAGCCCCTCTGCCTGGGGTGCTTCCATGCCACCACTCCTCGTTTGCAGCCTGCTCCCGGACGCCAGCCCTGAGTCAAGTTTGCCTTTCACTCACTCTCCTTCCCATCAGAGAACAAGCTTCTTGGTGGCAAGGGAGTCACAGGCATCTCTCTGCTACCTCCGGTGTGGTCCTGGCCCTCAGGAACTCACCTAATGAAGGCTTCCTCCAGGCCTGGCTGCCCCTGGGGAAGTGTGTCCCTAGAAGGAGGCTGGGCACCTGAAACCTTTAACTGTGTTAAAGGACCAGTAGTCAGGGCCAGCTCTCTGCAAACCACTAAGAATGAAACAATTGGCCTTTCTCAAACCTATGCCCCATCTTGAGTAGCCTAAGGAAGCTTTCAGTCATTCACTCATTGGTTCATCACACAAACATTAAGCACCTACTGTCTACCTCGCTGTCCTGGTGCTACAGATATAAGGTCAAAGGACCACCATGGGCTTCATCTTCAAAGACTCGATGACTTGCAGAGGAACGCTCAGAGAGGATGACAACAGAACAAGCCGCCCTGGGCAGCAGACGGACAGTAACCGTCCTATCAGGCGGAGGCTGGATGACCACCTACCAGGGCTGCTCAGGAAAAGCCACTGCTCCTGGACACTTCACTGATGGGACCACGCTGCCCTTGGACACCTGATCTTAACCCCTTGGGCCCCCACCCACCCTTCATCTACAAAACGGGATTAATCACACCCGTCATATGTTGTGCCCTAAGAATTAACTGAGATAATACACGGGACCCAGCACAGTTGCTGGTATGCAGTAAACCCTCAGTAACTGATAGATATTAGACTGTGGTTCAAAAATGGTCAAACATGAACAATTTCATATGATTCAACTCAAGACCAGCAGGTTTCCTTCTAAGCCTCTTTGGCTGCAGCACTCAGAGTCACTGTGACTTCTGCTCTGCCTCGTGGTAGATGCCCTGTGCCCTGGGTCCAGCCAGGGCCTGGTCAGGAGCCCAGCCCACCCCCGGCCTTCCCTCCGGCCAAGGCACTACCTCCTTGCCCAGGTCCTCGCGGATGACCTGGCGGACCTCTGGCATGCTGCTCTGTGGGGCCTGGCTGTGCAGCACCTTCAGCGTGCTGGTGTACTCCTCCGGCAGCAGGTAATCCAGAGCCCCCAGGTGCTGGCCCACCTTGATGAAGGTGCCCCGATTGGCACAGCAGAGCTCCCGGAGACGCCTGGCGGAGCGCAGGTGCACCTGCAGGGAGACGGGGTGTGAGAGAGGTGTGAGTGTAGAACGTTACCTGGACCTTGCTTCCGTTTCCCCCCTGGTGTCCAGGTAGGGACACACACACACACACACACACACACACCTCCATCTTTTTCCTCAGCGCCCTCCCTTCAGTCCCGTGGTACCCAGACAGTCCAGCCTGTGCACAAGGCCTGAGGTTTCCAATCTCCTCCTCTCCAAACCCACCTAGGCTGGGTCTCACTCCCTCAAAATGACTGTGCAGGGCTTTTAACCAACGCTAATCTACTGATGACTCATCCAAGGATATGCCAAGCTACTGTATTTGCCACCTATCTCTCAGACATGCTAAACATATTCTGTTTATCTAGATCTCCACAATCCCTACAACACGCACACTGTAGCAGCTCAGGTGCTGGTACATTTCAAGATGTGAGACTCAGCTGTTGTGCTTATGAAGAAGTGTCTAACAAACATCCAAGGGAGTTCTGGAAAGCACTCCAAATCTAGGGCTCTCTTAATACCACAAATCATAGCAGGGTCTCCGCTTTTGTTGTTTTGTTCTATTTTGGTTTTTAAAGATTTATTTTTTATTTGTAAGTCAGAGTTACCGTGAGGGAGAAAGAGAGAGAGAGAGAAATCTTCCATCCACTGGTTCACTCCCCAAATGGCCACAATGGCCAGGGCTGGGCCAGGCTGAAGCCAGAAGCCAGGAACTTCTTCTAGGGATGGCAGGGGCCCAAATACTTGGGTCATCTTCTGCTGCTTTTCCCAGGCCATCAGGAGGGAGCTGGATCAGAAGTGGAGCAACCAGGACATGAACCAGTGCCCAGAGAGCATGCCAGCATCTCAGGAGACGGCTTTACCCACTCCGCCACAATGAGGGGTCTCCTTCACGCCACAGGAATAACTGTACCAGGCACATGGAGCGGGCTGCTGGGACACTCTCTGGAGGTTGCGGGGCCCAATAAACCTCCTGATGCTCACAGTCCTGCTCCCAGGCTGTGCACTGCCAGTCACTGCCCCAGCCCAGCTGAGGGCATTGGCACTGGGGGCACACACAGTTCCCCCTAGGACATCAGCCAAGAGTTTGAACACCAACGATGAATCTACACTAAGTTCTAAGAAGGATGCTGATGTAGTCAGCACCTGTTGGGGCAATCAATCCACGTGAGAAGTTCAATACCAATACACAGACGGCCTCTATCATCAGTTGCCAGGGGAAACACACAGGAAGCTGTCACCTTAGAAATTAAGTGAACGCTGCACCTCAATCACTCTTTCCCCAGCAGCCCACCTCCCACCACAGCAGAGCAGAGGTCCCAGGCTCCAGCACCAGCACGGGTCCTTAGGCCCTCAGAGGCCTGTCCACATCTGGCTCTGCTGGACGGCCTGTCTCCTGGTGCATTCCTGGTGCATTCCCTATGCACACAAGACCCCGGTCCTCTGGGCAGATTCCTCCAGCCCCTGACATCTGATACCTCATCCTCTCTGAGCCAATGAGTGTCCTTCACAGAAGAGTGACTGGGTTTAGGGGGAGGGGAGCATTCCCATAAGAACCAGAAGCTGGGGACCACACTGGCCAATGGCAGATGGCCGGTCACACAAAGCTGGGCAGGGTCGCAGCCACGGTGGGCAGAGGCACGCTGAGCAAGTGCGGGGCAAGGGTTCCAGCCATCATGGATAACAACAATGTACAGCCCAGATAACCGGCTCCAGTTCCAGTGTGCCAGCAGAGGAGAAAATGCAGTCAATGTAGAATTAGGGGCCACCAGAAAGGCACCCCCAAGTCATCAGTCCCAGGGCTCTCGAGCAACCAGAGTACCAGGCCAGCCAGCACTCCCTAGGGAGGGCTGTTGAGGCAGCCAGCGGCCTGCTCGTCCACGGGGCTGGGCCATGTAGATCAGCACCCAGTAGAAGCAGAGGGAGTGCAGACACATTCCCCACCCTCCCCTCCACTCCCAATAAAGATAGCAGCCGCTGCATTGTCACTGGGGACCTGCTGGGGGCCAGCCCCGGGCCCTCAACCATCTGGGGAGACCCCACAGAGCCACCCAGCCAACAGCTGCAGGCATGAGAAAGGGCACGGGACCACGTGCCACGGCGACTCCCAGATGAAGGGGAGACTTGGCTCGCGGGAAGAGAAGGATGTATGGTATCGTGGTTCTGGATCTGTTCTTCCTTCCTGCCTTACGACACTGGTTCTCTCCCCTTTGTCAGATGGTTCCACATCTGGCTTTATCAACAGGGGGTCTTGGGACACAGAGAGACCACAGCAGGAGCACGGGTCTCCCTGGCTGGACCCAGTGTGCTGTTTTCAACAGAGTGCAGCCAGGGAGCAAAAGCCAGCAGTGCCCAGTGCAGTGGCCTCCCAGCCCAGCTACGGCCCACGCCCTCCACTACATCTCTCCGCTGCTGTGGTACTTCCTGCAGACCCTGCAGCCGGCGGGCTGCCGCACGTATCAGCTCAGGCTCGAGCCTCCTGCCTCCTCCACCCACCACCACCGGCCCGGCCCTGGGGCTGTCGTGCCGTTCCACCACAGCCTGACTCTGAGCCCTGCCAAGTGCCTAGTCCTGTCCTGCTCACCATCCCTCAGCCCTAGGAGAAGCTGCTTCATGTGTTGGTACCTCACAGTCTTTTAGGAATTCGGCACGTTGAGTAGTTACTCACTCTTCATATGAAACCTTCCCTGCTCAAATTCTCGGTGTGTCAGGATGCTGGCTGACCACAGGGTGAAGCCCCTGAAATTGAATTTGAAGATCACATGAAGATGAAGCAAAGGCACGTGTGCATGTGTGTGTTGCCGAGTGTGTGTGTGCTGTTTGTGTTGCTTTGTGTGTGTGTGTTGCTGTGTGTGTTGCTGTGTGTTGCCATGTGTATTGGTGTGTGTATTGATGTGCGTTGCTATGTGTTGCTGAGTGTGTTGCTGTGTTGGTGTGTGTGTTGATGTGTGTATGGTGGTGTGTATGTGTATTGCTGTGTGTTGCTGAATGTGTTCCTGTATATGTGTGTGTTGCTGTGTGTGTGCATGTGTGTTGTGTGTGTGCATGTGTATTGCTGTGTGTGCATGTGTTGCTGTGTGTCCGTGTGTGTTCCCATGTACTGTGTTGCTGTGTGTGTGCATGTGTGTTGCCATGTGTGTCGATGTATGTGTGGTGGTATATGTGTGTATTGCTGTGTGTGTTCCTGTGTACATGTGTGTTGCTGTGTGTACGTGTGTGTTGCTGTGTGTGTGCATGTGTGTGTATGTTGCTGTGTGTGTCCCTGTGTGTGTTCTTGTGTGTATGTATGTTGCTGTGTATGTGTGCACTGATGTGTGTGCGGTGGTATGTG